GAAATTGTTCATGAAAAGATTTGTGATTAATAGCAAGTGAAGTTCTCCATAAACGAACCAAGTATCTAGTTAAGCATCTATGCAATGCAAAGATGGTCACACATTTTGGAAAACTGTAAAAATCACAGATATGTTTGATTGTGAAAGGTTCCCAAAAGCTTCTGGTTATCATGGCATGGTCTTTTCCACACAAGAGTACAACACACAATTCTAACTGCAAAGGGTAGATTATTTTGTATTTCATGGAGAATTGATTGCATGCACATCAGCAGTAACAAAAAACCATTTGTCGTCAATCTTATTACTCCTCTCTAAATATAAAACAGTCTGGCCAATTCAAGTGAATATTTGAAAGCATCTGGTATAACAAGAGAATGGACAGGATATAACGAAACTTACTACTCATCTTGCCTAGCACTTAAAAGTTGATTTTTGCATAGCTCTGTCAGACCTCCCATAGACTAACAATATAATTCATAGATGGTGATAGCATGGTCAATTAAACATGAAAAATAACCCTGGCCATTTCTGCCAAATTTGGAGTATGCATATCAATCAAAGTTATTCATAGAATATTGATCAAGAGAGCACTTTAGCAGTTTAACAGGAAAGATATCATTTTGACTGATTAATCATGATTTTTCTCACTTGAAATGAAAGCAGTGTCGGAATATGTTATTCATTGCCAATCGCAATACAAATGTATTGTGTGTAATGTTTGTTTTTTGCATCTGATCTTTCTATTGCCTTGGATAGTAGACATGTGGGGAATAAAGTAAATAGTATTTTTTACTGTTGAGGAGATGCTAAATAATTGTTGGTTGGGCTTTCGTTGGGAATTCAGAACTGTTTGTTTAGTGTTTAGTATTTTCATGAAATCATCAACTTGTTTTGAAAAAGGCACATGTATTGAAAAAATAATCACTATTCGATGCTTGTAAATATGTTAGTTAAATTTCAGTGGGTTTGAAATCAGTATACTGCACTTCCATCTCAATGCCTTATCATGTGACTAGCATAAAATGATACATTTGACTGATCTTATTACCATGCTGAAGTGAGGCATTTCTGAATTGACGAATAAATCTTGCATTTCATCTCTTGAACACATTGAATTTCCATTAGAACTATACAGGCCAGCTCATTCAGATTCCTGTGAAGGGATAAATATTGGAAAACACAACAGGAAGTAGTCAGCTTAAGCTGGGCTACCTGGGAAGAATATTGTTTTAACAGCTTAGTGTGGTACTTGTTCCTTTAGGCTTATGATCGGAAGTTTCCAGATTAATTCCTGCCATGTCTGGTGATTGCCTACTGAAATATGTGGCTGAGCCACAGGACAAAATTCACTCACTCTTAAATGCTACATGGGGCACATGATTGTGTGCTGATGTTTTGGTGCACTGTTACTGTCAGAATATGAATGTCTGTGTCAGAAACCTAAATTACAGCAACTGTGTAATCAATACCCCAGGCACAACAGCAGGATCAAAATAAAGTATATGAAAATGGGAAAATTGAAGCTATAAGTTTATCACCAAATCTAGTCCCTGGTTTTTATTGAACACTGCAATGCCTTAAATACAAGCATACTGCAATAATGAAATTCATTGATGTTTTCACAGAAATCTGGCTATAGCTATTAGCGGTAGTAATAACAAGTCCAGTAATGGGCTTTTTATTGAAGGAATTATACAATACATTGTTAGCACATTAGTCATTGTGCGAAGTGTCTAATACTGTGCCAAGAGAGAATTCAAGCTAAATGTATTGAGAGGACAGTGTGAGGAGTTTCAGAACTTTCTTATTCACATCACTGATTATCACAAAACTAGCACATTAAAATTAAATAACTTAAAAATAAAATTATCATTTAAAAACCTGCAATACCTCCTGGTATATTATGAATATTTTAATAATTTTCAAAAATTAAATGCATTGTTTTGAAATCATGCAATGTTTCAAAACATTTGTGACCATAGAATTAATTAATGTCTGCCTATGATATATGTAATAGGAGAAAAAATATTATTTCTGCTTGCAACATCATCCTTTCATTCTTGTTAAACACATCTTGGCGCTTTGGTGAACTAACGATTTCAAGTACAGTCATTCAAAATTGAATGACCAAATTATGTGTGGGCAGGGCACTGAATCTCTCAGTCTAAACCTAAACGGATATAGTCTGTGTCAACATTCAACACTACTCTTTGACAAGTCATAATGATTTTATTTCGAAATGTCTGCCAAGTTTTTTGACAGCTTAGCTGTGAAATGAGCATAAAAGATTCATTTATGAACTCGGAGGCAACTGTGCTTACATATCACATGTGATTGTGAATGAATCTTTGATAAAGTCATTGAGCTGTCAAAGTAATGCTAGTTGTTACAAATTTTCCACAGATACAAAGCATTACTTGCCCTCCGTTGACTTATTGTGTCATCACCATTTTATAGTGATTATGAATACTACGCAGCAGAATAGAATGTTTAAAGAAACTGACTCCATACAAAGATGCATTCAAACATCAAGTCATGACAAATAACTCATTCTGATAACGGTTCTTTTAGATTTGTGTTTAGAGATTTCTCCCCTAGCGAGTAGTGATAATTGAATTGCTTCACTTGTCAGGATGACCAATTGATTAACAGGAAGGTATTAATTATTACAAACTAATATTGATTCTCTTTGTATAACTAAAAAGAAAAATATTTCAAGCCTTTTTAGTTATGTCACAAAGTATATATTTTCTTTCAATTGGCTGTAGTAGAATATACCTTGTTGGCTCAACTGATCTAGTCACGCACACAGAAATTTTAGTCTAGTCATACAATACAGAATTTTGCTGCTAACTATATCAAATAATGCATAATTTTAATTTAAAAACGAGACATTGTTTTATCTACCCATATTTCTTCAGTCAAAAAATGGCCTTCTAGTATAGTCCACTGAAGTATAGTCTAACTGAAGTGCTTTCTTGCAGATTTCTTTACAAAAGACAAATTTCTATTCTACTTAGCACATCAGAGGTACTTTAAAAGATTGTCTAAAAAGGACACCAGTCAATGAAGTCAAAAGGGATATACCTACATGATTTCATTGATCTTAAAAAAAGTTGAATACACATTAGTACAATGATAACATTTTTTTAGTGCATTCCATCTTTCTTAAATTGTAATTCTGATTCTATACATGCATTGAAAACACGCACATTCTACCCATAATACATTGCATCATAGTTGTCCCATAATGATTCTTTTTTCATGAGTTTAAATGAATATAATCTATATATGGTTCATTTAGCAAATTTCACCAGAAGTTAAAATAACTGTTTGATAATATATAGAGCTATTTTTCCCAAAGAAAAACATTTGATTTGCATCTAATGATGATAATCTCATGATATCAGCTGTATGTCTATATACAAGTCTATCAAGAACTGAAAATAGTTTACAAATTAGGTTGCACAGAGCAGCTAGATGGTGTTAATTGGTCTGGGGGTTTAGGGATTGCTTTATTTAATTGGCCTCTCTAGTCATGACTCAATCTCAGCTGGATGTTGAAGGGTAACATGTCATATTGGGCCTCATCAAAACTTATCATTGTTGGCCTATCTTCAGAGGTCAGTATAAGGTGGAATTGTTTTGTTCACCGGTGAACAAAAATGAAATCAGATGGCTGTGCTGTATGCATAGCAATCAGATTTGCATTTGTCTGATGAATATTAATTGCATTGGAAAAGGAAAATTGACTTTGATTTTTATAAAATACACAAGATAATGACAGGTATCAGTCACCCTGATAAAAAGATGTAAAACATTGTATTGCAATAGTTTTATTGCTTAAATTTCTTTGTTATTGTAGGTTTAGTATAATCACCAGTAAAAAATTAAAAAAAAAAACAATTTTTTTCTTGAATTCCACATTTTTTGCTCATCAATAAATTTTTTATGTCTTACAGGATTTGGATTTGTAACTTTTGACAGTGAAGACGTAGTTGATAAAATATGCGAGATACACTTCCATGAAGTCAACAGCAAAATGGTAAGTTATGGAGGAGCTTGTAAATTAAAAAAAAAATGATATAGCAAGCCATTTATATATTTTATATGCTACACTTTTATTGATAGTCATAAGTCACCATCTAAGCAACGTATTAGCTTTTATATACACTATCATATGACTTATTAAAAGATAGTGGGCTACATCAGTTCTGATTGTGATGGAGGTGCATGTTAGATGATTCAAAATCATTATTGCAGAATAGGTGTGGTTGGTAATTTGATTTGAATTGGCTGAAAGGAAGGAGGAATGTGATTGGCCAAAAGGAACACTGATATTGATTGGACAGAATGAATAATTTTGTGGGATGCAAATGTTTGAATGATGGTGTTGCATGTATATTTTTTTTGTCTTGTGTACTAGGATTGTTTTCTGATATACCCAATCAATTTGCCTATACGGTCCATATCTGTGTTGATTTGTATTTTTACAACAAAAGTGAATGATTGTAAAAAATGGATTCCCTCATAAAATGACGTATTAACTGTGGAGAATTCAAACCCTGGGAAAAATACAAACCTTATTGTATTTGGTGGATTGGTCCCTGGGGCATATTGCCTGTAATGCCATTCGGTTTACAAATAATTTCTGTGTAACATACTTTAATTGACTGAACTAGAGCAATATTAGTATGAGTTCTTCTTGGCTGAATTATAAAACATATTTTACTTAGCTCTGCTATAGATAAACATCTACGGTAATTCAATTAATTCTTTATATTGCTAAAACCCACACAAAATTTTAGTTTAAATTCTTTGTGAATTTTCAGTTCCAGTTGTCTAATTGTAGTGTTACAAAAACATGATGGATTTTCCTAATCTGGAATATTACTAATATAAGACTTAAATAGTCAGTGCGAAAGTGGCTTGTCATTTGATTGAGCTCTGGTCATGAAATCAACTTGCCTGGTCAGATTTTCAAAGTGCTGCAAAGTCATGAATTATTGGATCAAATTGTAACAAGAAAAGTCGATCCGGACTGACACAACAAAGTATCGGAAAGCAACTCAGTATTAGCATATTAGATTTATCCCTAGAGAGTGTAGATTTTCAACTGACATCAGAATATTGCAACATTATATCAGTATACCTCCTGATTTGATGCAAATTAGCGCACAACATGGTATGGAGTTAGTATACTAGTAACAAAAGCATTATGAAATTAGAGTTACCACATCCAGGGAATGTGAAAGCAGACTTGGACAGTTTGAGCTCAATACTGACAAAAGATGATCAAGAGGTGGTGTTAGAGGTTTCACTGGGGAAGGAAATGCAGCTTGGATGGTTGCGATACACAAATGAAAAAAAAACGACAGATATAATTAGGTAAATACCTGGGCAAAGACGTTCTTATTAAATCACAGACAAAGTCTGAAAATTGACATCTCGTATAGGTTTAAATTACTCTCCTAGGTATTTCTATGCTAGTCAGGAGGGATATGTATTGGAAATGGATAGGAATTGGATCTGGCAGAATTGATAAAATTAAATGTTTGCCTGCTTTATGAATTATGCAATATATAATGCAGGTTTATAAATTCCTTGGTGTGTCAAGTATACATCATCACCCCCCCCCCCAAAAAAAAAAACAAACAAAAACAATTCAGGAGTTGTCTTCAGTTTCTAGGTCACACTAATTCCATTGAGTTACCTTCGCTGGGAATTCTGTTGTCTTCATGGCATTTTAAAAATAACCATGATTACATACATGTAGTACGACTTCATTTCCTTAGTTGTCAACCAAATGTCTAGTTAGATTCAGTGATTTGGCATGCCTACAGTAAATGCAGTTTTATCAGTTAAGTAAGATGTGCCATTCCACTATCGGTTCTAGAGCTCATTAGAACTTTCACAGCTGGGTTGATCTTTTATCAAGAAATCAAGATTTTGTCCACTTCCATTGTCTGTGTTAGGAGAGAATTAGATGCTGGGAAACTAGAATGTAGATCTATTCAATAGATTTTGGTCCCCAAAGATGCATTTTTGTTATTAAAACTTTGTGATGTACAGAATGTTATCTGAAGCAGGCTTGTCATATGTTGTAGGTTTAAAAAAAAATTATTTTAATACCTACATATAGAAGCTGTCCATATTGCTTATAATTATAATACAATTACTTGACAAGACTGTTCTCATTGCACTAGGCAGGAAAATATGTAGTTTTGTATGCACAATCAAGTTTCAAATATGAGCTGTATCAAAATCATGTGTTCGTTGTTGTGGAACTGAATCTTAGTTGTTTATGGATGGCTTTTGTTCAAACATGGTAACATAATAGGATGCAGATGCATTTATTTTTTGTGTTTTGTGCCAACTAATGACCATTCATTAATGAATGCAGTTCCAGATCCACATCTGACATGCCTGAGCAGATCAAGTTCAAACTTCACACATATACCAGACATCATTTTCGTTGCCATCAAATCGAAAATGTCTGACTGACAGTAAAATTATTGTTGAATGCATTTCTGCTGTATCCTGTACATGCCTAGACTAATCAAGTTTAAACTTCACGCATACTTTAGGCATCAGGTCATATAATAGCAAACATGGCAACGTTTTCTTTAGTTTAACTATGTTTTTCATTATTTGTATTTTTCAAGTTATTGATATGTGCCAGAGGAATGAAATCAAATCTAGAAAGTTATTTCAATAGAACATTTTGTGTATAGAATTCTATACATCAGAGATTTTCATTAACTGAAGATGGTATAAATAGCCTGGCAACAAACAGAGTTGTTAGTTTCCAACATCTATTGCAACAAGATGAATTCTTTTGTAATAACAATGGTGAATTACTTAACAATTTCTTGTTTAGGAAATCAACTTATGCTATGAGAGTTCAGTAATTTGACATAAGCTGCTCCATTTTTATGTTTCAAAGATTTGGACAACCATTGAGAAGAACTTTTGTGTTCAATTTAAGATGTTTGAGAGTTTAGTAATCTCTCTCAAAAAAGCCATTACAGTTTTGTGACTGAAAGGGTTTTCGCGTGATGAGATCACGTAGAAGTATTTGGTTCACAGTTTTGTATGAAATAGATTGTAAATGTATCTCATGAAGGGCCAGGTTAATCCAGCTAGTCGTGCTTATCAAGGTTGATGTGTGTAACAGTAAGAATTGATTAGAGTTAAAAACGTATTGAGAAAGTGCAAATGAAAAGTGTGCGTCTGTATGCATTAGTTTTCTATTTTCAGCTAACATGTGTTTTTTTGTTGTGGACTTTGCACATGCGTATTGAGATGCAAATGTATAGTACTATGTCATCTGTAACTAGTACATATTCATTCTACGAGCTCAAGCAAACCATTTAAGAAAAAAAAAATTCTTTCATTCACTGGTTAGTGATAAAAATATATCTAGAAACTCAATCCAAGCATGGTTTTCTAAGCTAGATTCCCAAATTATCACCCTGTTTTTACACATCTCTCTGGTTGGACAGACAAGCTGATGACTAAGAATATTTTTATGTAATGTACTTCACTGCTGTACAAGAAACACCACTAGTACATACTATGTTTTCAAACATATACAGCACACCCGATTAAATAGAAGCAGCATTCTAAACTTGAATATTGTTTATTTTCAGGTGGAATGCAAGAAAGCTCAACCCAAGGAAGTGATGTTCCAGGGAGCACTAGCACGTGGTAGGGCAGCTATGAGGGGAGCCTACGGGATGTATGGTACCGTATATCCCCTTTATCTCTTATATGTAGTAGTGACAGTGTCACTACTGTCATTAGTTACATGTAGTTGGTAGGGTGTGGCTCAATTTTCAGTTATCGCTACTACAAATTATGGGGAAAATGGGGAAATTATATAACTTGCGTTTTGGTTGGATTCCACAGATTTTTTTTATTTGGCATCATGAGCGTGGACACACTGTCCAATTTAAACAGATTTCAAATACAAAAATCCATACACTTAAATCTGTGGAACCTTTGTGATAACTGTTGTACTGTACTGTTTTTTTGTTTTTGTTTATGATATGTCTTTATGAAAGTAAAATGCAGCTTGATATGAGTTCATTTCTCCATGCTGTGTTTAATTCAACAGTTACATGGAAAACAGAAATTGTCATCCAGCATTACATCAGAACCCAACTCAAGTTAAAAATGTTGACGAAATACCAAAACATTTTAATGACTGAAATTATACTTTCTTATTCCAAGAACAGAGATTTATCCAATTTTTTTTTTCCCCTCCTTTTGACCCAACATATTTTGCAGTGTACCCTCCCAACTTTGCTGCCTATGGGCGTGGCTTTCCTGGATATGCTCCTGGATTTGCATATCCATTCCCTGGTGAGTATTCCAGCAATTGTAGGATTTAGATTTTGTCTTGATGTTGTTTGTGAGCTATTTTAATACTCGGCAAATATTTGGCAGGAATAATGGCCTCTTGTTCTCTTTAGTCATTTCGGTCCAGTCATCAAAGTTGGCATGCTTTGGATAATGTACTTCAAAACATTGAAACGTGTTTTTTACAAAAGACCCAAAAAACAGTTTGTGTTGATATTACTGTCAAATATTGAAATCAATTTGCTGTAGTATGATTAAAATCTATAACTACCTGTTAGGTTTGTCATTTATTTTTTAGGTTCAAACTCAAATGTGTTTTTTTATTATAGTAAATTATAGTTAACATCTCGATTTAACCCCTAATTTTAAGTTGTATTGCTGTGCATCTAGCACTTTAAAATGAAAAACTACCTAAAAGTCTTTTTTCTTTTAATTTTTTAAACTAATTTTATAAAGCTTTAGCACTAAGGTTTGATTGATGGATGTTTGAGAGATTTGTAACCAATTTTGTGAGAAGAAAAATTGAAAAGCTTTTTACATGCCACTCGCAGAAGTGTACAAAGCGTATAGTAAAAATCAGAACGGCAGACCATTCCACCTGTCAGGCTCCATATAGCCTGATTCTGATTTTAAAATGATAGGCTTCAATTTGACTAGCCTCTTTTCGATGTCAACTCATTCTGATATCAAAATGGCTGGCAGACAGCGTATAGCCTCATTCTGATATCAAAATGGCTGGCAGACAATGTCTAGCCTCAGTTTGATATCAAAATGATTGATTTCTAAATGGAACCTCATGCAGATGCCAATCATAAGTTTCAGAATGAGGCTACTAGGTCATGGTTACAATTCATATTAAGATATATTCTTGTATGTGATAATGCATGGTTGTTTTTCATCATGCTGAATTGCCATCAATGAGCATTATGAGTAGCCCCTACTGTAACAGTAACAAAACAAATGTACTTAAAATTCACATGAGTATCATTTCAGATGAATAAAGCTCCTGGATACAAATCCATTTTAAATTAAATGCATATATTCTATCATTTCGAGAGAATGTTCTGGTTACACCCATGCAAGTGATAACGTGTTCAGTTGAATGCATGGCAGCTACCAGGCACTTAGCAGACTACTTGCAAGTACACAGCGTGATAGCATGCACTAACTACACTATGTTGCAAAGGGCTACTCAACTTGCTTCTTATTCTCTTGATGGTGTGTTCATACTCGAAGCAGTAACTAATGGCTTCTTCAATGTATTGTTGGAAGTGAAAGAACTTGAATCGCATGCAGAATTGAGTTTTGTTTTTGACTTAACTGCTCCAAAATAATGAATCCCTTTTATAATATAGATGGGTGGAGGGTGCTGGAAAAGCATGACCATAATAACATCTGTGATATATAATCGCTCACATATTAAACCAGCAGCTGCCCTGCTTTGCAAGGAAATAAATGTTAATCTGAGTGTTAAATACAAAAAAAAATATGCACGCGCGTTTTCCATAAACTTTTAATTGGTTTTCCAATAGCAAGTTAGATGCCAATCCCCATAACATTACACATATTGTCTAACCACAACCCTTTTCTCAGCTGTGCAGTGAAGTGTGCATTTTAAGGGGCTTTTTCTTTGGCTTTAATCACCTTCAAGTCAAGGATTTATATTGGATAATACAAGTATTGCTGAATATATTATCATACAGACCTGTCACTATGAAACAGTAGGCATGGGTAATGCATTGTTCGGTCACCATGTTTTATATTTGAGTTCTCTGAAACCAAACAAAAGCCTGTGTACACAGTGAAATTATTTTGTTTTTTAGTATGCCAATAGTTGCTCTATGTTGTCTTTTATCATTTTCCTGATCTGTCTGTATTGCCATATTTTTGAAATATAGATTGAAGAATAAAATTTCTCTGAAACGGCAAATTTGAATTAAATCTAAGCCTAAGCAGCTTCAAATTGTGCTTTCAAGTGGCAGTACTGCTTTTGCTGCTATCTTGGCTTTCAGTTCATGTATAGGTACTGTATTAATATCTTCAGCAATATTGTGGTATTTCATAACTAAATAAAGCTTTAGCATTCAACACATAATTTTTTTTTTTAAAGACACTAGGCAAACTGATCATTTACAAGATTGCATAATTATTGTTCTGAGTTGCTTCTTGTATGTAATTTCTTTAGTTCAATCTGCTGACGGAAACTTGTTTCAATTGGTGGTATAATCTTAGGCCCATAAATTGAACAATTTATGTTTTTTCTCAGATTCTGATCAAACTTGCCTCTTATTTAAGACTGCATGTATAGAATATATAGATCTTTCTAGGAGATGGCAGTATTAGAGTTATGATTGTGCCACCAATGGTCAAGCACGGCTCTGCAGGCAGAAATATGTTATTATGTTAGAGTTCAGTGTTAAAGTATTGTGTTAAAGAGTTGTTGCATGTTATTTCTTTGATAAGAGATGCCATGGCAGGGAGATTGGCTGTGCCACATTTTTTAATACTGAAAATACTACTGTTGCTATTGAATCAGGATTTGGTGTGACTGCAGCGTACACAGGTGCTGGTCGGAGCACACCTGGTCGAGGTGGCCGACCTGGCAGAGGAGGCTATATGGGATATGGCCCCGGTGCTCCAGGTATAGTTCACTACAACAAAACCTAGTGCAGACTGAAGTGTGCAGCTTTTAATTAACACCTGTGTGGCTCCTGTTGTGTGGTGTTCATTTCTTCACAATACACACATACCTGCCGGCATTTTCCCTCATCTTTTTCCCTAGTTTATAAATAATGTGGCACGCCTGTAACAGCTAATTTCTTCCCAGTTGTTGCCTGCACCCTGTTGTCAACAATAAAAAGTGAACCATGCATGATTTCAAGTTTTGCTGGTGCTGTAACTAAACTCCCCTTGGGAACTAAATAAAACCTTTGTGTTGTATTTTTCACTTAACATCAAGGCTTTTTTTAATTATTTGTCTTCCTCCTGTGTGTGGTGTATATTTTGGCTTCTTTTTTTGCTGAATTGTATGTAACACTTTAACTCATTATTACTGTAGCCTGTAATACTTTTCAATGGGGTAATTAACAGGTGTTTATTTTTAATGTGCAACAATTTGTTTAACTTTGATACACAGTAACTATTTCCTGTATTAAGTAAAAACACTATAACCTGGGTCTGTGTGTCACAAATAAATGGTTGCTCAAACTTAGGCAATACATTTAAAATTGTCATAAATGAAAGCATTTTGCATGCACACTTCACTGCTGTTAGGCTTTTTTAATACTTCTCTAGCAACTAACTTTTTAAACGAAAAAACCTAACTAAGCTTGTAGTTTTTATGTAAATTTGGGTGATGCATGTTTGACTTTATTGTATAAAGTAGAAGTAAAATTTGTTGTGTGTTTAGAATTTAACCTGTTAGTAAATAAGACCACTGGATTCCCTATGTATTTGGCGTTACACAAATCCACGTAAGTACATGTAGTGTTAGGTACGTAGAATCTAGTGTCACCCAAGTCTTAACCAGGGAAGTCCAGACATAATAAGAATTAAAAAGAAAAACCCACCTCCACCCACCCGCCCCTTTTTAGTATTACATTTACATTACATTTTCCTTATTACAGGATAAGCTCTCTGAATCCCTTTCAGGTTCTTTCATTTGTATTATAGTAACAGTTAATGTTGCTGTTTCTTATCTGCTTTTGAAAGTAGGTTTAAACTGTATGACCATATTGTCTATTAGCATTGCATCTATCACTATCTTTGAATGTGCATGAATACAGACAACCATGCTTTTGGCGAAATTTGGGAAATTGCTTGGTTAAGATCAGTAGACTTCGCTACTGATTATCAAGCAGTAATTGAGCTGAATAACAATCTCTTAATTTTTGTAAGCAGTACTAAGAGAAAATATGGTATTTAAGTTTCTTGATGTTACAGCAGCATAACTGTTCAGTGCTGTAAAAGGGAGAGATTGATGGTGTGACACTTTAGTGTGTACGTGTGTTAAGATAGATATATTGTTAGGAATTGCATGCTATGTCTACCAACAACCGTCTCCCTATCTCCTAGGATTCCCTGGTTATGGCTATATGCCTCAGCCTGCACCTCTACCCCCTCCGACAGTGGGTGGTGATCGGCGTACTCCTGGCGCACCTCCCTACTCCTACGCAGATTATGGCTCTGCTGGTCCAGCTCCTGCAGCAGGAGCTGTGTTAACTCGTGGCACAGTGCCCAGAACAGAGGCCTCTGCTATGCATCAGCATGACTATGGGCGGGAGTACCAACATGCAGGTGGGTGGCTATACATTACATAATGACACATTTTATGTTAAATTCAATTGACCTCCATTTGAAAATGTACCTATGACATAGTTGATGTAGTGCCTTGTGGTAAATGCAAGAAGTAGAAGGTGTCATCTTTTCGGAATGCAAAATACTGCAAGAGCTTTAATTAGTTATTGGTTAGCTAGAACTCTAGTGTAGAATAAAACTGATGGTCCAATATAGACATACTTTTATCTTTGGGGCATCATTATATGTAGGAATCCTATGGCTTGGTAATAAGTCTACAGATGTCTCCCAGTCTCTCACTGAGGTAAGATGTTGCATGCTTGCATGCGCTAGTCCTTTATGATTCTAGCGTAGTGTAGCGTCTGCATATCCTAGTTCTAATCTTGTAGATTAACTGTCAGTATTAAAGTTTCAAATATTTGTCCCTATTTTTGCACCAAATCTGATCCTGTTAAAATTCTAATCATTATTATCTAATATTTTTCTTCTCCTGTGTGAATTTTTACAGTGATAAACAGCTATCAGAGTTTTGGCCCTCCAGCCTCACCAGCCAGCAGCAGGGCCTATCACCCTGCTAACAGCACTAGCCCTGGACCCATTGATATCTACTCAGGCAGTCAGGGAGAGAGTGCAGGAGGCTACTTGCAGGCTGCTAGCCCGCAGCCATCTGGTTTTGGACCTTCTATTGCAGCCGTCAGCTCGGTAGGTTCTTCCTACGTGGTTGCGTACTGATCCAGCTTCAAGCCTGAATGGTCTTGTACTTCTCAAGGTTTTGAATGACACAGAAAACAGACACAGTACACTCTTCTCATTTCATGAGAAGATTTTAAAGCTTTTATTCTACTGTCTCTTTGAAATTTGCTTCTCAGAACGAGTGTCTTTTTAAAATGGAATCATTCTGTACAATCATGATTTTTAAATCTCAATAAAATTGTATTTTAACTTCATATTTTTCAATGTGTGGTGTACAATTCTTATTTTTCCCATTGCATGGCTAATGGATATTCTCAAATTGTGAAGTACAAATTCTAAATTTTGTGAACAAAAAATGCTTTTAGCATCACACATTCAAAGCTAATAAATTGCAGTTTGCTTTGTTTCGCACTTTATTCTGATTGTGTAATATCCATTTGTTTTTGCAAGTTCTGAGAAGCACTGTGTCAAGCACAGCCCTGAGTCGACCATTACTTATGATGGCACTTCCTTTAGGACAAACACAACAAAACTTAACATGACAGAAAATGTTCTGTCACAATTGTATATGAAATCAAATTCAAAATATTAATATAGAACCTGGTTGTGCCTATGTGTTGGATCATTTGGCAATACAGTTTCTTGCACAGTATGGTTAAATAACATTTACTCCAAAGACATTGAGAGGATGTGTTCCTGTATTCGATAGATGAATTTGAGAAATGTTACAAAACCTGGGAGAATTTCAAGATTACTGATGCCATCATAGGAACAGGCTTTATTTATATTATGCTTTTTATTAGTTTAAGATAAATTGTTTAAAATTAGATAGTTTTTCTTATGTCCTTAACTAATGCATGATTCACTTAAATACTTAGCTTAGTATTATAATTTGTATGTAGTATGCATTTGATGTATGAAATGAGCATGAGTTCTATTAGTCGTAGACTACTTTAGTAATACCTGTTTACCATTAGGCTTGGACTAAACCCTTAACCAAATTCACTAAAACAATCCTTCTCTTTTTCTTTCTTTACAATTTCTGAAAACCTTCATCACCTAATGTTTTAGAAGGTAATTTCTTTTCTGAATTTTGTCAATTGATTAGTGGCCAAGCCTTTGGATTATGCCTTGTATCTTTCTAGCTGAAAATTTAGCATGATTGCACGTTGTGAGGATGAGGAGGGCTGTGCTTGTGCTCTACGCATCGACTAATGCCTCTCAAATTAAAAGAAACAAAAACAATTTATGTCAATTTTGGGGGATAATTTTGAACTGGAAACTTCATACTGAAGTCAGGTTGGGTGCCTTGCAGTTCTCTAGAACAATTTCTTTTTGTTTGGATATGTAAATATGAATGAGCTGAACATGAATTAATTGCATATTATTGGTTAGGGTAAGGTCAGTGTTCTCTGTTTCTCAACTCATATAGGACAAATTATAAATTTATTTTTTGGTTCAGTTAAACTGCAAAGCATGTCGTGTCATTCTGGAATTTGCAATTCCATATGATAATCTTGCTAGATAGAGAAATGTTCATATCAGTATTGGAATTTTGTGAAAAGGAAATTTCTGAGATACTTAGCTTGTACTGCACATGGTGTCCAAATGAGCTGCTTAGAGGGAGCACTGTTACTTAAGGTTATTGTTTTGTATATATATATGTAATACTATTTGTTGATGAAAAGCCTTTATTTTCTGACATCCAGCCTGCATCTAGCCTCCTCTGCTATCACCCAGACATGCTAAAGGTGGGTCCAGTAAAGCTATCGCTGGCTAGCAGCATCTAGAGTAGAATAGAGTAGTAACTAGAGGTCCTAGTCCTGGATTTGTAGTTGTCTTGTTTTAGTCATTAATTGGAATATATTTTCTACTTTGTTGCATATCAAAAATGAATCGGTGTGCTCTATTGGAAAGTTAATCGATCATCTGTTTTCTATGTTTTATTTAATTCTGCTAATTAGCTTGATTAGCAGCTTATAGCATAGACAGATAACTATAGTTGGTAGTTTGTCACACATCCCTGCATCTATCGCCCATGTTGTAAATCAATTGTGTAGTTCATAAACTTTGCTCAGACATTGCAAGTTTCAGAATTCATCTAAATTCTTCAATACAAGTCATATCACACAAAAAAAAAATAATAGTGTTTGAGATTTCAACTATCTGTATTGACAATGAAGCACAGGCCAGCCCTCATGCTTGTGAGATGCATAAATCAATGTCATCGTAGTGTATTTTTTGCTGTGCTGTTTTGAGTGTTAGTAGTTACATAATTGTTTGCTGACATTGCGCTTTTCCCCCCTCATCCTATCCCCATTTTAGGGCCCCCTGTTTGCATCGACTTTTCATAATGGCTATCCCTGATCTGCTTGGCATCCTAAATAAGAGGTACTTGTCTCAACTTTAACACCACTGGGGGAAAACATAACTTCATGAACCTCTCATTTGGGTTAATTATCCAGTTGACCAGAGATTATTAGTTTCTCAAAAACAACTGTTGCCATTAGATTGAAAGGTGCCAATAGGCAATAATTTTGCAAACATTTTCAATGCAATTGCCAAAATCAGTTTTCCCTCTTGTGTGGCCTAAAAAAATAATGGGATCTGTTGATATCTATTAAATAGTTTGTGTACATAATGAATCAACAACTGGATAAAACCCATGGGAAATGTGCAAGATACTTTACCATTTGCAAATAAATCTCTACTGAAGAAGTGCCTGCTTTTGCAAATTCCATGCATGGAATACAAATTTTCATTTGTGATACTGATTTCACTTAACCTACAAATATTTTGTCAATGTTGACTAACCTTCACTGCTAAAGTATTCTGACTTGCCCATGTATGACTGTAAAATTACTGGGTAGTGAATGTATCAAATACCTGGTCATTTAATAGCAGACACTGGTTCTGTACCAAATATAGACGTCATGAAGTTATGAGTTACCTCTTACATTGAAAAATTACTATTAGTGTTCTGTAATTTTATGTCTTCTAGTTTTAATTATAGCAGATCTCGGCTGTCATCACCCACTCTCATGTATACAGCTTCAAACATTAGTCTGCATTTGAAAATGGATGACCCAGACTATTTAAGTCTGTCAACTGTCTTGCAATTATCCTTTATAAAAGTATATTTTACAAGTTGCAATTTACAATTCAAAAATGCATGAAGTTGAATGTGACACTTATGGTTGTTGAAAATATCAATCAACACTAGTGAAAAACAATGTCAATTTTTGAGACCTAGGAAATTTTCTTATAAAATGACAATCCTCAGTGTCTTTAAAGAATACTTGATTTGGTACATTGCAAGTTTGACCAGAACTATCTAAACAAAAGCTACTTAGTCATCCCTCCTACTTCCACATCTTGCCAAAAAATAATTTATACAAGAGTCGTGGTCACCCGTTGAATTGCTTGCTACAAGTGTACAGTGAACCCTCCATGTACCCGCTTTGTGTCATTGTGCAAGGAGATACTTTGGAGCTATCCCAGGATAGCACAAAGTTAGTGTAATAATCAACTTTCATCATTTTTAAAAGATTAACCTTTATTTCGTATATTTATTCATTCTTTATTGTTGCGAAATATTGGTCTTGATTTTGTTTGAGTACCGTAAAACATGAATATTGCTTACTAAATGTTCATCACACCCAGCTGGCCGATCCCATGATGGCTTACCCTTAAATTTTGTCCCAAATCATAAATAAAAATACCTGCAGGAAATATTTTACTGAATGAATACTATTTATATAAACGAAAGCAATTAGGCAAGTTTTGGTCCACTAAGATTTGGTCTATTTAAATCAGTTTTGTAACCAATTGTAACTGGGAAAGATAAATTAAGGAAACACCATTGATTTCACTGTCTTAACCTTTTCACCATCAGTTTCCTCATTTTATCACAAATTCACAAAATAGTCCCGTTTATAGTATGCACTTTCTTTTAGAAGATTATGACAAAAATAGCCACATTTTTGGAGTGAAAATTGACTGAAAATTTGGATGTTGGTTCCAAAATTAGGGCTCATTTCCAGAAATATTGAAGAATATAAGACAAGTGCAGAAATATTTGAGCGAGAAAGTCTGGTGGTGAAAAAGATTAAGAGTATTAGGTAATTCATGCGTCATAAGAAATTTTCATTGAGATCCAAAACTAGCAGTGAACTTGAATTGTATTCTTGTGATGTAATTAATGCCCCTCCCTCTCCCCCTTCTCATCCAATCTCCCACTAGTCAGTTTCTTCACTATTCATATGTACTGTAATTGCTTAGGTGGGCAGGTAATGGATCTCGGCAAGATTGGTTTAATGATGCGACATCAGCTAGATTTGACTTGGGTATTATTACCAAATCAAAGATAAGAATGGATTGATTAGGGAAACTTCAGTGGATTGTAGATGGAATGATAGATTATTACATGGTAAATAGGGCCTGTTTTGATGCATTTGTACAGTATGACAATGACTCGTTAACTAGTGGAGACATCCCAGAAAGATAGGTTAATTAGTAAATCTGCGTTTGAGGAGATTGAGAATTATTACATCTGTAGGTAAATTATTATATAATGGAACAAGGGTGGGTTGTATTGTAACCACAAAATCCCACTGCATTACTTTACAATCAAATTTAAATAGATTAATTAGGAAATATACATGTTGAAAATTGTAAGTACATTAAATTGCAATTTGATGAAGACATATTGGAAATACTAATATTGAACCATGCCATTAGGTTAGAAGATTGTCATTCTTGCCGTAATGAAATAGTCAAACTTTGATATTAAAATTTAATATGACTATCATGGATGCATAATTATAGTTTGTTTCCAAATCTGAGTTTCCATCAAATTGTGCATGATCTTAAAATATGAACATTCTGATATTATCGTTACCAGGTTTCTATAGACAGAATATTGGCATTGTCAATCTGCTGTATACAACAGAAAATTTACATTGATAATGCATGTGTAGGGATCCTGTACAAGTATTGGAAAAGCAACAATCTTTCCATTGACCATTGGGAAAAAAATATTGAAATCATGAATATACAAGAGTAGGCCATGTACAAGTAATTACTTATTAGCAGTACGATTCTATTTTTGTACAAGATAGGCAGCAATCAAATGTAAATCTGTAGACTTTAAATATCTAATTCAAATATTAAATTGGCTGGGAAATTTGATTGACAGCTCTGATTCAGTTTTACTTTATTGAGATTAAGGACTGTCATGGGTAATAATCACAATTAGAGTACTTGGCAACACAGAAGCTAGGATTCATTATTGAGAAAATATAAATACGACCAAACAGTAGTAACAAAAATCTTGTATACTGGAGAACTATTCTTATTCACTCGAGTCGTCTGTAAGTGAGGTACTGTAACAATTAATTCATTTAACCAAAAAGTTTATCTAAAAAACAAATTCAACATTACAGCTAATATTGAATAGAAGGCAATCTTTCTTGAATTTGGAGAGGGGAGGGGCATGTTCACGACAAGATACTGGGCTTTTTGCCCATAATCAAGACATTTATCTTTCGTTTAATTAGTTGTGCTTATATTATTTTATCAATCTTGTTCACTGACATATTTATCCAAATGAGATCTAATTGGTTGAACTGTGTGATGCATATTGTCAAAAAGGGAATGTGTACAATTTTGAGCATGTACCGATTAATTTAAGCAAAAATACTAAATGCAAGTCCTCAGCATTATGTCAACTTGTGACAGTACCATGTACAGCTCCAAGCATAAAGGGATAAATGACATCTGAGAACTAGTATAATTACCAGTAAATCAAATCTCAACCAAATGTTTGATGATTGAATGACTATTACATGTGTGGTTGCTTAGCAGCCACTAAACCAAACAACAGATTTATTTGCTGGAAACTCCTAACAAGAATTAATTTTGTCGGTAGTTAAAATCACTAATTGAAACTGCATCTTTTTTAAAAAAAAAAATAATCTCCAATATACATTTAGTAAACTCTGTTCAAACCAAAATTGTTAGCAATTTGACATTCACAGGAACATTTGCCTGTTCTCCTAACCAAAGTGTGCACCTCCACAAACTTCTGATTTTTTTTTCTGTGACATGCAAGAATTTGTCTGTCACATGACATTAAAAAGATTTACAGTATTCTGCCTGGAGCAGTTTAACACAGTCACCTCACATCAAACTCTTTTCATCTAAACGCAGCGAAATGAAAAATGATGTGTCAAAATAATATTCTAATTGAGTACCTCAAAGACAATTTATTTGATAAAGAAAAAAAAATGTTGATTTGTATCAAAGTAAGAACTAAGGATGCTTCAGAGAAGTTCAGAGGTCTTTCTCAATTGGCAATCAGTCTGCCAGATTCAAAAATACTGTCCATTTTTCCATAGTGATAATTTATTGTCATTTTGGCCTTTAGGATCACAGATGCCAAAGGTGGAATGTAAGCAAGCAGTTTGTCACAGTAATGAGTACCTAGCCATGCATAGAAACTGAGAAGCTCCCAGGAGGGGAACAAGCATTTAGGAAATCAATAACTAACTGCACAAATCATTGCACTTTTACTATAATGAAAACTAGCCATGTAAAACGTCTCCATGTCACCCAGCGGACATCGCAGCATTTAATATTTTCCCCTCTAAAACAATATTTGTTCATAAATGTAGTGAAATATTAAAACTATGGTCATCATACTTGTTCGATCCTTCACTATTCACTTTTTATGATCAAATTTTTGTACAAATTGTGTGCATTGTTGTTTAATCTATCTCCACAAGAAATTAAGATAATTTTACAGATCTCAATTGCGTTTTCAATACTAAAGACGTAGTATATCTGGTCAATATAACTGAAAGAACATGACCTATTTTATATGTCCTATAGACTTTCTTTACTATGCCCTTAATGTTATTTTTAATTAGCAGGATTAGGGAGATGTTAGGTTGTGCATATTGATACACCGACAAAAGCATACAATCAGTTTACGTCTCAAGTAGTTTAATTACAAACCACTAATTAAACAAAAGTGTAGGATATGAAGATTTTATATCTCCCTATGGTACTGTTATCAAAACTGTTTTACCTGTAGGCTAGATGGGCAGTCCCCACAAGGGGTTATGCAATAAAACTGTTACTTGCAAGTACTAAGGTAGGGGGCAAAAGTTCAGACGTGAAGATGCTCTAATCTTGAATTTGTTGTTGTCATTAATCATTTTTATGACTGCTTTAATCTTGGAATGGAAAGTTTATTGCATGGTATTGAAGGGCACTCTGATCCGGCGCATTATTAGCCTGTCTTTAGTCACTAGCTTTATTATAACATCAAGATTTTCTTAACATAAAACAGGATTTTGTGACATAAAACCCCCCCTGCTTTGATAATG